TCGGTTCGGCTACGCGTCACTGAAGTGCGAATTGATTGACGTACAGGGAATGCCTGCAGCAAAGCAAAGAAAAAAGGAATACTTGCAGTCTGGGTATGCACCTAGCTGAGCGGTTAGTGGGATGAGGCAATGCTATACCCTAGCCGGTTTGCTAATTATGGGGAATTCGTATATATCTAGCAGGTTGCTAGAGAAGCCCGTGCAGATGTAAGAATAAGCAACCTAGGGTGTTCTATGGGGAATTTAAGTACATAATCCCAGGTTGTTAGTCTTATTCATCGTCGGGAAATATACCCAACTATGCCTTGTCCAGCTGGTGCTTAAAAGCTCCAAGGCTACGAGCAGCAACCACCTGCTGTGGTAACCGGTTCCACATATTAATCACCCGATGCGAAAAGAATTGGGCTCTAATACTCCTTGTTGCCCTGGGTTTTTCCAATTTGCATCCACTGCCCCTAGAATTGGTGTTGTGACATAGGTGCAGCAGCGGTGTTTCCATTACCGAGGCGCCGGTCAGCTGCTTGAAGACCTTTATGAGGTCCCCTCGCATTCTCCTTCTCTTGAGGGAGAACGGGTTTAACGTCCTGAGTCTCTCGCAAAATGCAACGCCACTCATGCATTCTGTGACCCTCGTGAACCTTCTTTGTACCTTCTCCAGGACCTTGAAATCTTTCACCAAATAAGGCGTCCAGGCCTGAACGCATTACTCTAGATGTGGCCTCACAAGGACCTTGTTCAGTGGAACCATCACCTTTTCCTCTCAAGAGGCTACAACCCTCTGGAGTTGACGAAGTTTATGATGATTACCGCAGCTGCCAGACACTGAGACGTCGCTTTGAAGCTTTGGTCTATGACGATACTTATGTCCGTAATATCCTCGCCCCTCGTTGGAGGTAGATGGCTTTCCGTGGTCGCACTTCGCCCATCGCTATTTGTGCCAACTGACATTAAATGTTGGCACTTGCTTAGCTTCAGCGGGAGTTCCCATTGAACTGTTCTTTGCTGGATCTTGTTCATGTCCTCTTGCAATTGTGCACATCTCGCCGGCCTACGACTTTGACGTCGTCGGCAAATAAGTAGAGCGGTGAGTGCAGACCACGGACCATATCGTTGGTGTATACGAGGAACAGCATAGAACCAAGCACTGAACCTTGGGGGACCCCACTACAAGCTTCGGAAGACCCTGATATTCCGTCGTCTACTCTCACGCAAGAAGTCCTGGTGGGCAGGTATGCTCTCAACCAATCTACTACCCCCGGAGCAACCATGAGACACTCCAACTTGTGTAGCAGGAAGCGACCGAAGCGAAACCTTTCCTGAAATCCAGGTAGCATACTTCGACTCGCTCTCCCCTATCAATTCGGCTCTTGACCTCATCCAGCTACGACAGCAAGTTGATCAAACAAGATTTACTTTCAACGAAGCCGTGCTGCTAATCGGTTATTAATCTATTTCTCGTAAAATGTTTGGCCTGATAAGCCTTTCGAATACTTTTAATACAACCGACAGTAGGCTCGGCCGGTAATTGGCCGACCGTTCTCTATTGCCTCCTTCCGAATGGGAAAAACTATTGCTGTCATCCGGTCCCTGGGTAGCTGCGCAGTATGGAGTGACCAATTGAAAAGGTCCGAGAAGAGTCCCGCCAACGATTGCCGCAATGGGTTTAAGGACGGCGGGATGAATTCCATCCGGCTCTGCGGCCTTGCGCACATTCCGGCGTTGCACTTTATCCCTTATTTCATCTGGTGTTAAATGGAAGTCCTCCATTACGTAGAGTTAATCAGCATCCTACCGGACGGTTTACCGGGGTCTCGCACGTGGACACTTTCGAAAACCTACGCATTTCCTCGGCTTTCTCGCCGTTGTTCGAGGCGTTTCTTATGCGTCTTACCGCTACTCTGTTAGCTGCACTGGACTGAGTAAAGCTATAGTATGCCTTTGGATAGTCCTTGGCTCTGTTTGCCAGTCTTCGTTCAAACTGAAGTCGACAAATCATCTGGACTCTTTTGGCTCTTTCACTCTTCCTCTTGTATTATAACAGGCACCAAGGCTCCTTTCTCTTTTAAATCGCCTCCACGCTTGCTATTTTACTTGCCATGCTTTGGTGGTCCGGCTCGTCCACCAGACCGGCCTAACCTTTTTCCTAACAGCTCTAGGTGGTGCAAAACCCTCAGTCAGCCACCCGAGCTTCTCTTTGAACAGCGGCCAACCCTCTTCAACCATCCCGTACGGCAAGTTTCATTCCAGTCTTCCAGCCGCCTCCAGCATGCGCTGTTTATCGATTTTATTATAAGCCCCTAACAGCTTCGGTGAGGACATATCTATCGCACCTGGGGTGGTGAAACGCAATACTCCATGGTCACTCCGCCCAAGTGATGCTGCGATTCTCAAACAGTCGACCTCGCTGGAATGTTTCGTGATCACCAAGCTCAGAAACCCAGGGTTATTTCTTACCCGCCACCCTGTTGGAATTGTGACATGCTGAAAAAAAGCAAAGTCTAGTTCGTACTTCACTATATCGTCCCCAAATGTGTTGGGCGGAGGAATCAGTTCCTCCCACATTGCCTCAGGGGCGTTGAAGTTTCAAAAAATTACTACGGTTCTAATCCTCTCTGCTACAGTCTTTAGGAATGACAGCAGCTGGCGATCTTCTTTTTGACTTGATGGTGGGCTTATGTATGAACATGCTACCCAGTTATCCCCTCGCGGAATCAGCAGTCTCTATCATTTGACAGGCGCCGCACATCAGCCGACTGCTACTCCTGCCATGAGAACTTCCCGGGGGTTGATAAAAAAAGATGCATTAATTGCGCGTGATGTGTGTGATGTGAAGGAGTGATGCTGAAATAGCCAACGGCTACAACCGGGGATGGGGGTAGTGACCGAGACTTGGGCTAGTCATACTCGGAAATACTCTGTCCCAGCAGATGCCTAGTCTCCATTTGCATCGCAAAACACTAGTTGCTGGCACTACTGTAGATGGAAGCTTGTTCCATGCGTTTGCCACGCGGTGGGAGAAAAATTGTGCCCAGGCATATCCGTCGGCCCGTGTTTCATCAGCTTCAGTACATGCCCTCTAAGGGCTGGATTGAGATTTGGCGTGAAAAAGGATCTATCTATTGGCAGTCCTTTAAGCTGTTTGAACGTCTTAATCAATTCACCTATCAGGCGACGGCGGTGCAATGAAAAGTCAAGGGCCGCCAGTCTTTCTTTGTGTGACTTACCCTGCAGTACACTGATCATCCGGGTGAACCTTCTTTGCACTGCCTCAAGCAGTTGTTTTACCCTTACTAGGGGAGGGGCCCACGCCTGGACACAGTACTGCAGATGTGATCGCGCAAATGCCTTATACAACGGCAAGAGCACTTTAGCCTCCCTTGATATTACCGTTTGGCAGAGTTGTAATAAGGCTCTATTGGCCTTCTCTGCGGCTGCCATGCATTGAGAGTTTAAAGGATAAGTGTATGAGTACCCTAGATGAGTACCCCTAGATCCCTGATCACATCGGTAGAATATATGGCGTTCTTCGACCCAGTGCCTAGTTGATGCACCTCCGCTGCCCTTCTGTTCAGCAGCAGGTGCCTGCATTGCTGGCGTTGAGAGATAGCTCCCATGTGTCCACCCAGCCATGAGTTGCGTTTAGTGCATTCTGTAAGTCCCGCGATGATGGATTCCCTACTACTTTGAGGTCATCCGCAAATAGGAACCCGGGTTACTGAAAGACGTCGGTGAGGTCATTCACATACAGCACCAATAGTATGGGACCAAGAACTGAGCCTTGAGGTACCCACTACAGGCTGCTGCAGTCTCTGGGGTTTCCTATTTCACCCTTACACGGAACGTCCTCTCGTGTAGGTACGCTTCGATCCACCTCACTAACTGCTGGTCTCAGCGCAGGGCTTCCAGTTTGCGCAGGAGGAACCTGTGGTAGACCGAGTCTAAGGCTTTCCTGAAATCAAGGTCACAAACTTCGACTTGACCCTCTTCGTGCAATCTTTCTGTTACCTCCTCCCGACATGACAGAACGTTAGTGAGTCACGATTTTCTGTTGACAAAGCCCTGTTGTTGGCCAGCTATTAGATGTTGGTCGTCCAAATATCCCACGAAGCTCTCCCTTAGGAGACGCTCAAAGGTTTTCAGGACTACCGAAATCAGGCTTACTGGACGATAGTTTCATGCAGCCACCCTTGACCCACCCTTGTGGACTGGCACCACTTCTGCCGTGGTCCAGTCGGCCGGCAGCGTTGCTGAGGCAAGGGATCGATTGAAAAGCTGAGCCAGCACACCTACAATTATGTCAGCAATGGGCCGCAGAATTGCTGGATGCAGCTCATCCGGGCCCGCGGCCTTGTTCTGAGTTAGCTGTTTCAGTGATGCTTCTACCTCCTTTGCATCTGAGACAAACGGAGCCATGTGCTGTTCGGGGAGCCTACCTAGTAGGTCAGGCAACGGCTTTCCCAAGTCCGATTTGTGGACTTTCTCGAAGAAGCTCTTTAGAACTTCAGCCTTCTCCTTGCTGGTGACCGCACTAACATTTACTACATTACCGACCACTACCCGAGAGTGGGCCTCAGACTACACATAGTTGTAGTAGACTTTTGGTCGCTGTTTCGCATTGCGAGCAATCCTACTCTCATATTCCCTTTGGCAGTGTCTCTAAATCCTAAGTGCCTTATCTATCGCCGCCCGATAATGCAGGTGCTGTCTATGACCAGCCCTGCTCCTGAGGCAGGTCCATGCCTTACACTTTATGGCTTNCTCTTCTGACCCTTCTTAGGGAGCGAAAACGCCCGTGAGCCGGGTGATGCTGTCCTTGAATGACTGCCACTCCCGCTCCACGGAGAGGAAGCCGTCTGTTGACCACTGCTGCTTGTCTGAGCGCCGGTACATCCAACTTCCTACAGTCCCTCCTGAGCTTGTGTGAAACCGGGGAGGGGTTCCCCGATGTGGAACCTAGGTACTCCATGGTCGCTTCGCCCAAGGGAAGCGTAAACCCCGAGCTATTCCACATCATGCGGCATTTTGGTCATAACTAGGTCCATTTCGTCTGTTCGCCGAGCTTGGCAATTTGTTTGCAAACGTTTCATCACCAGCCGAGGTGACATCATAGGTTCTTTTGAAGTGGTGATGAAATGTTTGCAAACAAATTGCCAAGCTCGACGAACAGGCAAAACGGAATTCAGTTCACCCGAGCTACCAGAACCGATTTTCAATATTTCGTCAGAACAAGGTCCAACGTGCTGGGCCTTGCCCATCTAGTGGGTTTGTTGACGTGCTGCACCAGGGGTAGCACTGTCATCAGGCTCACTAGTTTTCCATCAAATCCAGAATGAGGGGCTCACAGGCTTTCCCAGTCTACCCCCGGAGAGTTGAAATCTCCCATGATGACCTTCCGCTCCGCGTGGTTGTTTACCCTGGTCAGATATTCACACAGTTGACCATCTTCCTCCTAATCTGAGAGTGGTGCCCTGTAGATACCTTCTACAGTCACTACATAGTTCGGGGATTGTATGTTGCATGAGCACACCTGGATATTCGGCGTGGATGTGTTCGCCCTCTGACTGATCCAGGGTGTCCGACACAAGGAACAATATGCCACCTTCACCCCGACCGTCTCTTCTGTCAGACCTGTACGCGCAGTACCCGGTGAGTTGCAGGCTCTCCGTTGTGATGGCATCGTGCATCCATGTCTCGGCAATCACAATACACTGTGTTTCTATGATTTCGGCCCTTATTTCTGTCCACCTGTTGCCTAGACTGCAGGCTTTCGTGTAGAATGCCGATAGCCCCCCAGCCCAAGCCCTGCTTTAGCATTGGTGCCCCTAGAGTCTAATGTGCCCTCGGGCAACCCGACCGAGTGCTTTCTTCGTTTCTTGTTACTGAAATACTCTTGACCCTCAGTCTCTGCTGCACCGTGGAGGGAATGACGGCTACACTAGCCCTATGAGCCACCGTAACTCACATTTCCTTACCAGTCTCTAACTGATTCGAACCTTGCGGTACGTTAGCGCCCGGCTTGAACTTTCAAAGTGCTCGTAATCGAAAGTATTTTTGCTAGGGTAATTGGGAAATATTAATAGATATTTCAAACTATACATAGTAAAATATCCACTTCCAGTATTTGTTTCGTTTTGTGACCTCAAAAGGGCCACTTTTAAAGCGTCATATAGTTGAGAGTGAAATATCAGTAGATATTTCAGAGGCTTTTTCCCAGCCGTTGTATCGTACAGTGGACCCAACTGGTCGGCCAGTTTTACTTTTGGGGAATTTTTGGTCCCGTTTTAACGCGAGCTTGAGTCATTTTTGGTTGCGCTTTTTGTCCAGGGATTTTTGCAACTTGAGGTGCTTTTCCTATACATTGTTTTTCCGTACGATACGTGATCTATATTCATGGCGACTAAAGCAAACGTGGTACAGCACACTGACACATGTGGAGCCAAGGGTTGTGG